GATGGGGCAAATTTTAAATTAGGGGGTGTCTGAGTTCTGTCATGCAGCACAGATCCAAAATACACCACTGATACCATCCAACATTTCAAATGGAATAATAGTGATACTTTAATTTTAGTGATGTGAGTGGGGATGTGGTAAGCATTAGTGCTGTTATGAGAAATTTTAGGTGATTTACACTTTACAAATAACAATTTATGCTTCTGAAATAACAAGAGCAATACATCTTCGGTGGGTTTTCACATTTCATGTAACTGCATTGAGTTGATGTGCAAGGCAGCTTGGATCTAATACAGGAATATTGGGAGGAGAGCTTTCAAATTTCAGATGTTTTATGGATGATTATGCGGTTTACAGTTACAAAAACTATTAGCAACACTCCAGTAATTATGTAAATATTGAGGTTGTCATCTTTTTCTTATAATTTATATGTAGATCTAAACTAGCATTTTATGTAAAATGCTCAAAATTTACAATAAGTATATCTTTTCATATCCCTTGTAGGAAGAAATAATAATGATTCATTCGTCACAAATATGTGGGGGAAATTGCTATGTAGTTTCAATGTATGTCTGACTTGCATGAAACCTTTTTTGCATAGCATCACAAAATGCTGACTCTTAAATTCTACACAGATTGATTTCCAAACACATTTATTGCAGTGTAAAGCTCTGTTTTATACTCAGACACATTAATAATATGGAGCTCATAGAAAAGAGGGACATTAGGATAGAAGCCAGAAACAGAGGGATTTGAACCCCAAATAGGGACTGTCTCTCCTCAATAAGGACACTTGGGTATAGTGTTGTGTTGGGATGCTCTGGACAGGTTGAATCCCATTGAGAAAACTGACATAACCAGGGAACCTGAGGAGATCCCAATAGAATATAAACTTCCACCCTCACTAACAATAGAGAGGCAACCCAGAGAAGCTACTTAGAGGACCTACTCTATGTGCTTCAAAGATTCCTTGGCAAGGTGGAGGGGGGCACGGGACTATTATTTCTCTTTTAATTAATCCATCGTTTTAGAGAACAATTAACAAAAAGCCCCAAACACTTTACTTACCATTATTGCGGTGCAGAGGCAGACTCTTCAGAGCAGCCTGATCTCCCTACTCTGAAGTTCTCATGCATGATGATTTTTGTCCAATAAAATGCAAAGAGAACACAATATGCATAAGCAACAGCCACCCTAGTTTGGTAAACATATAAACAGTGGAGTAAATTTATTCCTTTGCTTGATGTCTTCTGTGCTTGCTAAAAATCGCATTGAAAATAATTTGAGACCTGCGCGTCTCCCTTCATCTATAGGTTTCTATATGTAAAAGATAGAGATAGAGGAGTGCAAATACAAATGTATATGGTATACTTAGAGACACTGGTCAGTCCTTCAGATGTAACCTATATACAAAAAGATCCAAACATAGCATAATACTGTTTTTCCAAATAATATAGTAAATAGATGTGGATTTTTCACTCACACTTTGCAGAGCCACGTATAGTAGGCTCTGACTATAGTTGCTCTTTGATAATTCCCTGGTGTATTAAACTCCACCACGCCTTCAGAATTCTCCACTCAGATTTCTAAGTGTACATTTTCTGATCCATCAAGTGACCAAGTAATTCACACCATTAGACTGTATATTCCTTCATAAAAATGCAGAATTTATGAAGGAATATACAGTCTAATGGTGTGAATTACTTGGTCACTGATGGATCAGTAAAATGTACACTTAGAAATCTGAGTGGAGAATTCTGAAGGCGTGGTGGAGTTTAATACACCAGGGAATTATCAAAGAGCAACTATAGTCAGAGCCTACTATACGTGGCTCTGCAAAGTGTGAGTGAAAAATCCACATTTATTTACTATATTATTTGGAAAAACAGTATTATGCTATGTTTGGATCTTTTTGTATATAGGTTACATCTGAAGGACTGACCAGTGTCTCTAAGTATACCATATACATTTGTATTTGCACTCCTCTATCTCTATCTTTTACTTGTATGTTATCTGTGTTTTTTAAGTGGTTTTAAAACACTGTGGAGTTGCACTGTTACTTCTACTACCACCCCCACACTTTGTGTGTTTTGCACGCTATTGTGTAAAATTTGTTTTATAAGGTTTCTATATGTGTTTAGTTTGGACTTGTTAGTCCCTGTAAGTTGTATTTTGATTCCTCCCAAAATAAAAATACAAAATTAAATAAAAATGATATTCACAAAAAAACAAACAAACAGTGGGGTATCTTAGATATGTCGCTGTTTTAGAGAGTCAGAGACGAGATATTTGCACCAATGCCACTCCTTTTCTTGTTCTAGCACCTGAGATGGATACATTAATCAGTGATGCTGCCATTGTTTCATTGTCTCTTCTATCACTGTTGTCCTGTTTGTGAGCTATAGAATGTTTTATATAAAGCATATAAAAAATGCCGTAAGTATAAAGGACACTGTCACAAGTGATGCCTACATCTGTACTACTAATAGTACATATTTTTACAACAAAACTAGTTTTTCTTAGAATTTTTTTTTTTTTTTTTAGAAAGTCATTTTCTACAGATTTTAAATAACTGATTTTCCTGAACAGGAGAAATATAATTTGTCCCTTTCCATGCTCTGAGAACTCAATGCCCTGACTGCGGTTTTTACTGGTTCCAGACTGTATTACAATTTTGTAATGAAGATCGCCCCAACCACGAGAATTCTATTTATATCCTAGAGTAGGTGCTTATTCGTTTTATTTGTGTTTTTACACATGCTAATAAAAAAAAAAAAAGACAATTAATCATAACACCTAGTATTCACATATTTCTGTATTACTATTTTTTGTGTCTTACCAGGAATATACACAGTTCTTGGTTACGTGCATGATCCCTGGTCGGATAAACCGTTTTTCCTGACCAAAGTAGACATAAAGATGGCAGGCACCATAAAGTACTAGTAACACAAAACTATTCCAAAATGTTCAAGCTTGTCCCAATAGAAAATGTTTTGACTAATTATATAGTGGGGAGACGCCAGAGCACGCTGCGTCGGTGGCTCTAGTAGCCAAATTTTAGAAATGATGCAAGGTAGCAATGTTTTAGTTATTGTTTTATTTTGACTTAAAATGTGAAATTTACTTCGGAATCCTGATAGCTCCCATCAGTGAATAATCCTGAGTGTGCATTAAATACATATCCACATTTTATTGTATGTGATCAGTTTCAACTGATTACTACAAATGTGGCAAAAACAACTGTTTTATAATTGTTATTTTATATAATTTCGTGTGTTGTGTTTTTTAGGAATTTTTTTTAAATTTTAGGCTCATTTTGATTTGCTTGACTGCTGTGCAGTAAATAAAAATGGGACCAGTATATCAGTCGACAAAAATTCTAAGACAGAAATGGCCATTATGCAAGTTGGCATAGCTGAACAAAACAATTAGTCTTATAATATCATTATCTATAAAACAGTTTATGTATTACAACACACACCAATTATACCTCTTCCTAGATTTGTCAGTAACATCAGCCTGAAGAGGGCCAATCACAGTAAAATACCATGGGCTATCTGTATACCTGTCATGGGTGGCGGTACTGAAAAAACGGGACCCCTGAATGCCTGATGATGTTGGGAGTCTTCAGCGTGGAAGTGGATTATCAGGGCCTGGTGCAGGGTAACCGCATGCCCCTTGGTGTTGAGCACCAGCGTTTGCGCGGCCACATACCAGAACCCTGATGCAGCTACAGCGGATCCCAGGAACTAGGAGCTTGATATGCAGACCTCCCAGGAACTGGATAGGGGGGCTCTGCAGCAGACATGTATCCAGTACAGAAACAAGGCTAGGCTAGAACAGGCACCAAACATGAAAACAAGACAGAACTAGTAGAACCCAGAACCAGAGAAGGATAGGAAGTTAAACCCAGAACATGTACACAATACATATGGGAACATTAACTAAACAGGGACAGGACAGGACTGTACATGAACTGGGAATACAAACTAAAACAAGACAAGAGATACAATAGGCAAAACAAGAGGAGAAATAACTAAGCACTATATATGAAAATCATGGGGATTTAGTTACATTATATGATCATACATTGCATAAGCCTGCCACAACGCCAATGTACCCCATATTCGGCAGGTCCTACTCTGCCTAATGTATACTAAAAGTGTCGTATATAATTTACTGCAAACCAATTAGTTTGAATGACTATCTGTTCCTGTCCAAATTAAAGATAATAAAGTTGCGTGCACGCAGAAGTAAATTCACACTGAGACACAAGGTTCAGGGTAATGAAAGAACTTCAGAGAAGTTTAATGGCTTCTGACAGAAAATGGGTGCGCAGACCCTTATAAAGGCATTATTACATCATTGAAGAAAATCAAGATATAGACAAATAGACATTGTTAATTGGCTTAGGTGCTAAGATGTTAGTAAAATGCCCTCCCCATTCTTAGGTCACTATCTACGTAATTTCTTAACTCCTACAGGTTTTAGCGCCATTTTGCTAACTGAGGAGTTCACTCGACGGGAGGGGCCTTTTGGCAGCTATCCATTTAGAGCGTAGCTGGCACTTGTTAGTTTCTCAAGGTTAAGTTTCAAGGCTTTTAGTAAATACACATTTTATCAAAGCTATTTCTTGCTGACATGCAAATTCTATGTTCTATAGACAAAGCTTTCTTGTAAAACTATGGGGGCCTCTTAGAGGTATAGCAAGAGGATTTAAAGGGGCCTTACAGATTCATAGAGGCCTAATAATTCTACAACAGTCCCCCCTAAAATGTTATTTGCTAAAAGACAAAACTTTATTTGTTAGTATCAGAAGAAGTATTAGCCCAAAGACACAGAAACCCCATGACCGCTGACTTAGTGTTAATGCAAAGTGCACGTCTATCCCTCTCTTGACCCTAACAGGCTGCAGCACATCCGTCAGTACGGTTCAGGAACACTCTTCACTCCATTCCGTCAGTATCAATAAAGAAGAAAAAACAAATATTTTGCGTTGGCTGCATTTTTTCTTTGAGGTAAACCTGGCAAGGGGAGTCTCTTCAAATGCTCTCATTCAGGAAGACACAAACCAAAGCACAAAGTCCCAGTCTGTTAACGTCACGTTTTGAAATGTCCTTTTCGATTATTCCATAAAAACGAGAAACGCTGCTGTTATAATCAGAAGGTTCTTGTTGCAGTCGTACTGGATAGGATTAAACCAGGCAGATTTAAAGGTCCTTTGCTGGATTTTGCTGCAGTTCATCAGTATAAGGGAGAGTTTGTAGCGGAGAGTTTGAGGTCTTGATCATCGATTGTCAGATGAGTGAAGGTTGGTGTTGCTTGGTCTACAGTTTTCTGCAGGAATTTCCTTAGGCATGGGAGGACACAACAAATGAGAAGAGCGAGAATAAAAAAGAAAAATTAGTAAGGCAATACCAATCTGGACTAAAGCTCTCTGCCAACCAGTCATCCAACCAAACCATTTTTCCCAGGGATCAGTAACTCCAGAGTTTCTCTTTAACTCTTCTGAGAGTCTATTTAATTTAGCTATGGCTAAAGTGACTTTACCATTAGGACCTGTGTTTTCTGGGATATAAGTGCAACAAGTGATGGTGTCAGGTAGTATTTTACATACACCCCCCTTTTCAGCTAGAATCATGTCTAAGGCCATTCTGTTCTGGAAGGTCACCTGGGATGTGGCCTGCAACTGCTCGGCCAGGCTCTGGAGGGCATCCCTGGTGTAGTTGACAAAACGCTGTTGGTTGTAATAAATGTAGTTAATCCAATTAAGGTTTTTGTTGGCAGTGACTATAGTGAACAGTGATTCAAAACCTGCAGCTACTTCATCTCTAGCTTTAAATTCATTAGGTACCCCCCTAGGTACCCCAATGGCATCTATGTAAATGTGGGGGTCAAAACTGCCTTTTACTGGGGTTTCGCGCCTCACTCTGGCTGGTGTATGTGGAGGGTCGTATGTGTCATGATGATTATCAGAAATAATATGAATGGGCATGATAACTTTGGCTAGGGTACACTCACCCCACCACTCAGTTTCCAGCCTAGATCTTAACTGTAGATCCCCACATAACCAGTAAATATCCCCCAATGACCTGGTATGGTGTTGCAACAGGCGTATAGGAACAGTTCTGTAAGTGGCGCAATAACCTTTAGAAAAGTTACCCATGAATTTACCAATCCCGTCATACATGGCATAACAAGTGTAATTACCTCTATAGACTGTGATTCCATCTGGTGGCTTAACATTTTCAACTAAGAGAGGGTATTCTGCCGTCCATGCCATGCAGAGGGACCTATTAAAGTCATATTGGTAGGCAAAAAGGCTTAAGAAGCAATCTTCTATCTCTAAAGGGAGAGTTAGGGGGACGGTGCCAAGGTGGGGTCGGGCACCGCCACATACATAACATGCTGTTTTATTATGTTTGTTGGCATTATACCTCATCCATTCTAACCACAAATTAATGTCATTGAATCCAGTTTCAGCGGCCATGGTATCTTCAAAAGTGGGGTTAGCGATGGCCATCATATCTTTAAAGGACTGGATATGTGGTTTTAGCGGATTTGGGACCATATGATCAGCCCCTTGCCACTCTGGAGAGTGGTACATATCTCTGAGGTAGAAATGACCTAATTTGTTGTAGGAACCTTTCTTCCAATACATTCCCATTACATATCGGTCTGCATCCTCGGGGCCAGGATGTTCAATATTTAACATTAATTTCATAGGGGTACTTCCTCCAGGCTTTCTTAAAGTCATTCTTTGAAGGAGGGATCTACCCTGATTGTCTATCTTAGATAAAGCACTTTTGGGTTTATAACCCCAGGCAGGCCCAGTATTCCATCCCGCAGCCCCCCAGTAGTTACAGTCATAACCCCATTGTTCATCTACTACACAAACGTAAGGGTCTTTTGCTTGTGGGATATCTTTATAAATGGCTTGAATCTGTGACTTAGGGAATGGGCATTCTACAATATCACAGTAATCAAAAGTGAATGTAGCCACATGGGTACATGATGAATTATACCAGAAAGTGTACCCACTAGCATCTTTGGTGATGGCTACCTGCTGGGCTTTAAGGAGGCCAACTAAGGAGATAATGTACCAGAGGCACATGGTTGCATAGAATTAGCTTCCTCTGGGGCAGGTGTCTTCTTGCAATGGGAAGCGTGGATCCAGTTAGGCCTTCCGGCCAATTTGATAGAGGTAGGGGAGATCAGGAGAACTTGGAACGGTCCGTCAAATCTTGGTTCCAGGGTGTGTTTTCGCACAAATTTCTTGACCAGAACCCAGTCACCGGGGAGCAGACTGTGGTTGCCTGTGTCAGAATCAGGATCTGGAATTGAAGAGAAAACTTGGGCATGGATTTTGTTCAAAGCATTTGCGAGTTCAGTTACATAGTTTACTAAAACATCAGTATGAAGTTGTAATTGCTGGGGAAAATAGCAACCTAGCCTAGGTGCAGTCCCAAATAGAATCTCATATGGGGACAGTGAGGTAGTATTTTGTACAAGAGCATTCATTAGATCCTTTGATAAATGTGCAGGTCCGTGTGCCCATTGTACGACTGCTGGGTACAAATTCTTAGGGAGGCAGAAATTGAGGTTGTTGGAGTACACTCCATCCTTCAGAACTGCCCCTTTCTGTTTCCACTTCTGTATTTCTTCAGGGGCAACTGTAGCCTGTTGTTCCCGCAGGATTTTCAGGTCAGTTGGAAGAGTCTGCAGAGTAAATATGGGAGTTTCTTCATTTCCGGACACTCTTCTTCCCACTTCCTGTGGTTTTCTTGCAGCTTGTTTTGCAGCCTGATCAGCTAGATGGTTGCCCTTTGCTTCATCTGAGTCCAACTTCCCATGTGCCTTTACCTTCAGAATGGCCACTTCTTCTGGGAGTAGGAGGGCGTCCATCAGCTCCTTGATTGCGGAACCGTGCTTGATTGGTGTACCGGCGGTAGTAAGAAATCCTCTTGTTTTCCAAATTAATCCGAAGTCGTGAGCCACGCCCAGTGCATATCTTGAATCCGTGTAGATATTGGCGCGCTTTCCTTCAGAGATCTTGCATGCTGAAGTCAGGGCTTGCAATTCAGCTTCTTGTGCAGACATAGTTGATGGTAAAGATGATGATTTGACAATTTCATCTGTTGTGGTTACGGCATATCCTGTATGGTATCTTCCTTCTTCATCAGCATATCTTGAGCCGTCCACAAACAGGGTGAGATCGGGATCTACCAATGGGTCTTCATGCACAGTTGGTAGATGTGTTGTTTCCATTTTCATCTGTTCAAAACAGTCATGAGGTGTATCTAGGTCGTAGTCATTCACTATGGTTAAATCTTGGAACTCATTCTCCAGGAAATGACGTGGCCATGCTTTTAGGTGGTCAGTTGTTGGATATTTGACAACACCATTTTCCTGTAGCTGTGATTCGTCCATAGTGGCCCATGCTTTTGCCATAGGCCCAAGATCATTCCATGATATTGTTTTCAACTTGGTCACAGGGACATGTGGAATGGCAGTGTCCCAATGACGGTACAAATGCTTGAGTTCCGGAGGTAGATGAATCAAGACCATACTGTTGCCTTCAGAATCACAGTAGAAGTCTTGTGCAGTGAGTTTTACTTCAACCAGCTTATAGAGTTCATCTTCATAGCAGGGTTCAGGAGTGATGTTTGTTTGTACCACATGGTACAGAAGGCATGTCTTGCTCCGTCATGAAGGAGTGCTTGTCCATCATAAAAGGATAGGTTGGGATGCATTTCCTTCTTGATGGTGCCAGTGAGAAGAGAAACATAAATTTCGTCCATGATGAATCCGTAGTATACACCCCCCTCAGGGAGTGGCAGAAGAGTGGACGGATTGAGAACTTGACATCTTTGGAGGGTAATGTTGTCAGGCAACAAAAGATGACATTGAAGGCGAAGATGCCTGGCAGGAGTAACATGCTTAAGTTGGACCTGGTTGACTATGGCAGAAATGTCATGAGGGGCCAAGACAACCAGGGGGTGGCCAAGGACAAGATCTCCAGTTCTTTCAATGAGCTCTCTGGCAGCAAAGACGGCCGGAAGGCAAGAGGGACGTCCTCTGGCCACAATATCCAGTTGGCAGGAGAAAAATCCAATAGGCCTTTGGCGGCCTCCAGGACCATGGGCCTGAGTGAGTACTCCTGTTGCATGGCCTTGTCTTTCAGAAACAAACAATTTGAAGGGTTTGGTATAGTCTGGTAGGCCAAGAGCAGGAGCAGAAGCAATAGCATGTTTAAGAGTACAGAAGTTGTCAAGGGCTTCTGTGGACAAGCAAAATGGGTCTGACTTGAGAGCATCATAGAGAGGTTGCATAAGGAGTGAGGCTTCTGGGATCCATGCTCGGCAATAGGAAATGAGGCCTAGGAAGGCGTGTAGTGACTTTGAGGTCCTTGGAGGTGGAATGTCCAGTACTGCTCTAACTCGGTCACGAGTGAGATGTCTGGTTCCCTGAGACAGACAATGGCCAAGGAAGATAACAGTAGGTTGGCAGAATTGCAGCTTGAGACGTGAAGCTTCACATCCTTGTTCTGCTACATAGTAAAGAAGATTAATTGAGCATTGTTCTGTTGTGGGTAGATCATCTCCACAGTAAAATGGGAAGGGAACAAAGAACTGTAGTGTCTTTTCGTGACAAAGGTGTATTCAATTGAACCTGGCCGTCTGCAGTGAGGGTGATGGATGCTTGGAGGCAGGATAGGACATCAGCACCAACACAAGAGACATCGGTGTCAGGCAGGAACGATGAGTCAGGCAGGTCTTGTTCTCTAGGAACACTGCGGGATGCACCTGTGTTAACCAGGAAACCAGGAAAGTAGTAGGGTGACCTTCAATAGGTAAAGTTACAGTGACTAGTGGCCCCCCTTGTTCCCTGTAGACACTGCCATGGCAGGGGCATTAAGCATCAGCGGGTTTGCTCTCCTCTGTATGGGCTGTGTTACTGACTCAAACCCCTTTCTATGTCATTAGCCATAGCTTTTTGCAGTCTGAACATGTCTATCATTATAAATAATGGTTAATGGTAAGTGAAGTAAAGTTCCTATATGTCTTTGGATAAAACATTAACTATTGCGGTACTATCATTTATATTAATTAGACTATAACAATTATACCACCCTGTAACTAAAATGAATAACCAGTAGTGGCTGGGTTAATAAAACATGTCACAAACCCTTCTAATGCTAAACCATCATTTAAAGTAAAGGATGTTACTGTAAACATACGATCTGTAACTAGCAAGATTCGATTAAGTAAAGATACAATGTTTAAAATAACTTGCATTATTTGGCTATTTCCCTTGTTGCAAGATTAATCTGGATAATCAGCTGTTATGCTCTTATATTCGTGTCCAACAGATTTCATATGTAGGTCACACCACATTTGCAAATTACATTTTAGCAACCTTCTTTTTTTTTTTTTTTTTATCACGGACAAATTTCTGATACAGGGAAACAAATGGCATGATTGTTTTAGTAATTATAATGTTTCAGTTCATAATATGTAGAGTGTAAGGAAA